AAAATCTCAACGAGCTCTGTTACAGATAAAAACGAAAGGAATTAGTGGCTAACTGACCAACTCCTGCTGCATTTAGCATATTTGTTCCTTCGATTTACAATATGAAGTGTGCTAGCTGGACTGAGGTGGTGTAGTGGCAAGTGGGGCACTATCAAACGCCAATATCCAGGATTGAATCCCGTATGGATTAAACGCCTAAGACAACCAGGCCCTCCACTCCGCCGAGATCGGTTGATTGATACCGTACTCGTCTGGAAGAATGAAAGCACTGGCTTGTACAATGGCTACCCACCAACGACCATTGTATTGCCCAAATACACATTCAAAACGCAGGTGAAAGTCCGAATGGAAGTCGAATACGGTGGGGCATCTCGAGGTGGGAACAACTCACCCTAATGATAATTGGCTTGTCCATGACGTTCCGAGTATTCTCCTGTATTGGGACCAACAAGACTTAAACCCGCCCCTACGGTTCCAATGACGAGTCGGAAGCCAAACAAAACAAATGCTCTAAACTGAGGGACTATGGTCACATCCGTCCGGGAAAGCACCCACGTTACTCGGCCTATTCGGGAAATTGGCTTTCACAAACAGATTTTAGCATCCTCACATCCAAATAAGTCAATTAATCCATAAAATCCATTTCATTTGCCAACTTTTCATGACTACGACAATCCAATTAACGCTTCGCTGCAATGTCTCATTAACTACTCCGCCAGTTGAAAGGGCTCCCTTGGAGTAGTGGACTCAAGCGACGTTCGGGTTTGCCGTCATTTGGGGACTCGGCACGAAATGCCGGCGGCTGTCGCTTCCTCATAACTCAAAACTCACTCGAGGCGCAGCAATCGAATCGAATTCCATCTGGCATTATTATCTCATTTCTTGACGATATTAGCCCGAGGCCTCGCTAGGCCATCCTGAGCAAAATATGAAATTGAAACCAGCGAAAGGACGTCCAAACACCGCCTTGGGTCTTATCAGTGCAATTCATTTGCTCTGGTCATAAATATGATGAAGTCGATAGTTAGGGTATGCCCTCCTGCTTCCCTTTTTATCTCTCTCCTTTATGGAGTAAAGGTTAGCGATCCTGGAAACATTCTGCTTCCTTATGTGAGTAAACGAATCAAGTGCTAATGCCCAGGTATACTCTCTAGGATAAGCCACCCATTCGACTTCCACTTAGAATGGACGATGTGTTTGGATGGCTCCCTCTGGTCGATGCATGCGGTCATCCAGTTGAGTTCCAGTGAAGCCCGAGACATTTCGTTGAAAACCTCGGTTTCAGGGCTCTGACCATCTGCTGAACTCTGCAGTTCGAGCAGTTGGTTGGCTATAACGGGCTGAGAGCATTGTAGCTTTGACAGTGGAAGCCTATCCCAGACTTGGCGCTAGCATAGCAGGTCATGGACCTTTCAAAAAGCAATTTCAGTCAGTTAGCCAGATCAGAATTAAAACGGATACAAATGAAAAACTTATAATAGGCACTTCGCTCTTCTAAAGAGGTTTTACATAACGGAAATAGACTTCAAATTCAAAACCATGAGAAGTGCTGGCCAACGAAGGTGAGAGAGGAATGGCCAAGTGGGTTAGACGTGTGTCAGCGCTGTCAAAGGTTACGATTCGTCCCTGACTGGTACAAAACGACTGCCACTCAAACTGGCGAACATAGTGGCAATGAATGAATCAAGGTAAGACTCAAGAATGATCGGTTCAAAGCCTACTCCCGAGTAAAGCAGAAGTAATATTTAAAAAAAATAGGAAGTGGACGGCAAACTATTATAATAAGGTCCAAAGAGGCTCTTAAATCTCGTTAGATAGGTTTTTCATAGCAATTGTCTTGAACGGGTTTTTTCGAGAGCAGTCACTGAAGGTCGAACTAAACACAATCCAAAGAATCGCATCTTTATCCTTGCCCTTTCCTAATCATTCAAGCCATTCCCATGACTTCATAACCCCAGAATAGCGCTGACACGTGAGCTGGGAGCTCATTAAAGGACTTCGTCGCCGATTTGGCTCTGTCTATGACATAATTCTCGGCTCACACCATATATAGACTTATAAGAAGGAAGCTCTACATTCACAAGGTTCCAGGGCTTCGAGGATATCGTTTGAGTGACGGGGGATTGAAATGCAGTAAATAGTAAGTAGCAAATTCAGGCAGTACCAAGGTGTCCTTTCAGGGCAGGCAGGCCGAAAAGGACTGCAGTAAAGTGATTTGCAATGGATAATCCCATTCTGAAGTGGCTTTTGTCCATTCGGCCTGCCGACCTGCCCCTGCATCGAAACCTCTACCATTCTTCAAAAATAGCTTGAAAGATGCATGATTTCAGATGAAATATGAAATCCTACTGAAAATTGGCGTGTGCTATCCGAATAGCAGTACGATAGTGGCCAAAATGGCAAGCCATCGAATCGAAGAATCGGACGAGTTGCAGAAATCCGTCGAACAACAACAAACTTCGCCAAGTTCACCACCATTGAAGCAGTTCATTGTGTCTTGTAGTTGATGCCGGCTTGAGCGATGAGTTGGAGCACCTAAAGGCTCAACGGTAAGAGAAAAAGCTCATTCACAGATTCTCAACAGACCCAAATTCTGGGAATCTGGGAAAATGTTCCCAGAGATTCTTCCCTAGAGAATGGCTTCTTGGCTTCTTCCCTGGGAATGGCTTCTTCCAGAGGCGGTGAATGGGGCATTCCCAACGACATTCGCTTTGACTTCTCTTTTGTAGACTTTACGGAGTTTTCCTTCAATTTACCCCCACCTCTACCTGTTCACCCTCCCTCCCTCTTCCTTATCCCGAATTCTCCTTCAGAGAAAACCTAATGGAGAGGATTCGGATCGCACAAAGTCCCTATCCTATTTCAGCCAAATGATTATTTCCAGTTTTCGGATAGGAAAAAAGATTCAATTTAGAACTAGCGCTTCTTCTTGTCTTCATCGTATATTTTTGTTGTTTATCTATGCTTCCCCATGACAAATAAACGATTCCCATAATATATTCAAATAATATAATATGAATGAAATCCCCTTCATCAAGGGTCCCTCCATAGCAACATTAATCCTCAGCCAGCCAGAAGATTCTCGTCTGGCGGCGAAAAACGAAAATAAATGGCAGAGGAATCCTCTACAGGCTTGAATCCCCTTGAAGGAAGCCGATTGGTTCTATTGACATAAATCATCCAAAAGTTGAAAACGAACAATGGCGACTGGTGACGTTACCCTCCCTCAAATGGTCCGGTTGATCTGATTCCCAACTGCATTCTTTGAGCCAGTATAACCCTCCAATGGTTTGATGTCAAGTGATACATAAAGAATTGCTTTTGCAGATCTACAGCCGGTAAGCCCCTCCCAAGCCGACGTCACTGGAAATGTGAGAAGCCTGACAAACATATGCCATCAGACAAAAGCAATCTATACATTTCACATAG